TAGTATTTAACCGACTTCGTATATATATTTTTATGTTTGTTTCCTCAAAACTCCATCAGTTATGAACCGTTTCCAGAGGTTAAGCTTTGGTCCAAATATAATTTGAAATTAAGAAGCGAAGAAGTTTATTGCAATTCATCTTGCTATACGCACAGCGTATGAAGTTGGTGATATTTTAAAAATAATAATTATGTGTGTATATATTACATATGTTTTGCCTTCGTTTTCATCTACCGTTAATTTATTTTTTACAAATTTTGGTCCCTGCCCGAGTGTATGTCGGTTATCACGGTAAAAGTAACCTTAGCTACACGCTGATAATGTAGCTTTCGATTGGAATTCGAATTTTGAAAATCGGTGTAGTAGTTTAAGCGTGCAAACGTAACAAACAAACAAACACACTTTCACATTTGTTATATAAGTATGGATTGACTAGTAGTTTTTGCTTCTCTTGCATAAAATATTTTTTTTGAAACTCGGGATCATTCTTACTCTGGGTTGAAGGTACTCATATACTTTATATCCCTTTTCCTTTCTTTTTATTGTATAGGGACCCCTTAATATAAGAAAAAAGCACATTTGTTCTTCAAAGGTATTTTCACTTCTTTGTACAAAAATTTGACAACAATGCTACGAAATGTTTGTTGTAAAAATGATACGTAAAATTATTTCGCTTCGTCCTTTTATTAATGCTTAGAATACACAATTTTTTTGTTTGTAAACTTTCTCAGCATTAAATCCCTGTTTCACAATAAAGGATAGATTTATTTAATGCCTGATACGTATTCTGTTTATAATAGTAATCCTAGTATATTTAATACTGGATACATAACCATCCTTATTTTACAAATGTAGAAGTGAGATTGTTTGTTTGTTACGCTTTCAAGCCTTAACCACTAAACCGATTTTAAAAATTCTTTCACCAATGGAAAGCTATGTTATCAGCGAGTAACATAGGCTGCCTTTTACCGCGGTAGCCAATATACCTGCGCGCGGACCTGCACCTAAACCTAGTTTCAGAATAAATTAGATCTATTTTTGTTTGATTTAGTACCCTTACATCGACATCGACTCCAAAAATAACAATAATTGTAACTACGTTATATTCATTTCATTTTACTTAGGAGAACTCAAATAAATATTTTGATCGTTGTTTGTTATTCACAGGTATATGTTAAGTTAAATTTATAGTGGGTAGGTACCTACCTACCTTCTTGCGTGGTAAACACATAGAACGTACCTACATATAGATGAGTAGAAAAAGTAAGTTTATTATTAAGTTGTAGAAGAATATGCATTTATTTTTTTACTTTTTAGTGCATATTAATTTGTTTTGGAATAGTGTTTTTTGAAGTCGGTTTTTTTTTGTTAAAAATTTTTGTTTATATAAATTTAATTCGCTTAGCAACTTAAGTTATCATGTAAGCATTAAAACACAATTTTTATTGTTACTGAATACATAAATACACTACTGGAGCCGGGGCCAAAAGTTAGTGTAATATAATAGGACCTACCGACTATTACTTTTTCCAAAATATAGACAACTTTTTAGTGGGTAAAAAATTCAATTCCCGAGAGGCAGTACAAAATGCCTTTGAAGAGTTTGTTGCCTCTCGTCCAGCTGATTTTTACAAGAAGGGCATCATTAAACTGCCAATGCGTTGGCAAAGATGCGTCGATTGCATGGGTAGTTACTTCGAATAACAGAAATAAAAAAGTTTGAAAAAATAAGTACTTTTACTTATTGCATACAAAACGGCCATTTCATAGGTAAAGACCTAATAAATGTTTTTAAAATAACTCTGTTGCATAATTAGCTTCGTTTAATAAGGCGAAGAAAAACTTAAAATTCATTTATGCACTGGCCTGTAATTGGTCTTGTCTTTAGTGACCCGGACTGCTATGTGGGTTCAAATCCCGCCCAGGACAAATAATTGTGTGATGAGCACGATCATTTGTTCTACATATGTCTGAGCGTAATTTATCTGTAAAATGTATGTGTTTAGAAATGTATAAGTATGTTAATCAGCAGTTTGATTATCATAGGAAAGGATCTGCGTATTCTGGGATCAGAATACCGTGTTTAGAATTGTGAAGTTACACATATTGAAGACATAGTAAGTAAATTTTTGAAAGTAAAACATAGAAAAACACAAATAAAGACGACCCATTCTAATCTTGATCGCCTCACAGCTGTACTCCAGATATACAGGCAAAACCCACATAAAACCTTTCTTCTTTAAGGCGCAATTCCTCTGGGACCACTCTAACGATACAATACTCTATTAAAAGAGGAATCCGATCAATGAGTCGGAATATCGCGCACTGTACACACAAAGTGAGGAAACATTTAGCCAAATTAAAAACTCTGTCTATTGAAAAAATGAACATGTGGTTAAAACTTCGGAACAAAAACCGTAGATAGCCTTTAATTGTAGTGAGTTGTTTTATAAACATGTCCTTTGATCTACTAATATTGTGTAATATTGTCTATATACTCGTACTAGCTATTAGCGTTTCTAACTTTAAAAATGACAAAAGTCCATATAACCGTTCATACTTTATTTTGCCGCCTTATGGGTGAAATGAATCGGTCAGTAAGGCAAGTAGTGTTTTATATATTAGGTCTTTACCTTGCGAGACCTTGCACCTACCGACTATTACTTTTTCCAAAATTTAGACAACTTTTTAGTGGGTAAAAATTCAATTCCCGAGAGGCAGTGCAAAATGCCTTTGAAGAGTTCGTTTCCTCCCGTCCAGCTGATTTTTACAAGAAGGGCATCAATAAACTTCCAATGCGTTGGCAAAGATGCGTCGATTGCATGGGTGATTACTTCGAATAACAGAAATAAAAAAGTTTGAAAAAATAAGTACTTTCACTTATTGCATACAAAACGGCAATTTCATAGGTAAAGACCTATTATATACGTGAAGGAATTTAGTCATACAGTCTTTGTACAGAACTTTGAAATCGTCTAGTACTTGGGTTGTGGAGGTCTGTTGACAGTCGCTCCGCGTAAATATTTGCAGTTCAGCCGTATCGTAGTAGACTTAAAAAGCCGACCCCAACCTAGTTTGGGAAAAAAACCCTCAGAGGAAATAATAATAATATTGATTTATTTCAGATTGTCAGCCATATCTTGTTAGAATTAATTCTAAATAGTTATGTTAGTATAATCTTATATGTCAAAAATCATTACTAATTAAAAATGATTTGTCAATTTCATTATACATACATATTCTTGTCATTATTCTTAGTATACTATTATTGATGACCGGGTGGCGTAGTGGTTTGTGTAACGGACTGCTATTCCAAAGGTCGCGGGTTCGATTGCCGCTCAAATCAAACATTTGTGTGCATGAACATTTAATGTTTGATTTGGTCTGGGTGTTTCTATGTATAATATGCATGTATTTACAAAAAAAAGTATATATGTATTTATATCAGTTGTCTAGTACCGATAGTACAAGCTTTGCTTAGTTTGGGACTAGATGGCGTTGTGTGAATGTAATAAAATATATTATTATTATTACTGCACCAGAGTCTTGTTCGCATAGATATAATTCTCTTCCTCATTATAACATGGAAACCATCATCCTATGTAAAGGAACTTCTTTTTACCTTTTTTAAACATTTTTACGTTTTCAAATAAAAAAGGAATTTTATAATCTATCCATTACTGACGGAATTCTGTAACTAACATAACAAAACACACAGCCGAATTGAAAGCCGGTTAAATATTATAAGCCTTCAACACATTTAATCTTCGCTTATTTTTCATGGCGTTTCCAGTAAGAAATAAAACGGTGTTCTCCAATCCCTAGAATTTATTTCCCAGTAACGAGAAATAGGCTATTATGTACAGCACCTAATGAATTGCAGATGTGGCACTTCACTGATTGCGGCCGCGGCGAGGGGAGAGGTATACCTGCGATAGGACGCCCAGCTGTGAAGAGTTCGAACTGCTATTGTGAGATAAAGGAACCTTGTTATTTGCGTTCTAGTTTATCTTAAGAAAGGGGTTTTCATTTTTCTACATTTGGTTTCCACGGGTCCATATGTTAGATTTCATTAATCGATTCAGGTGCTTAAGTTTTTTCTGAAATAACCTACTCTATCAGTTAAACGAAATATAAGATTAGAAAATATTATTATGACGTTTCTGTTTAGAAACATTTATGGCATTTATGTATAGAAGCGGGTAGCCGGGTAGTTGTCTCGCAATAGCTTCGCGCGGTCGACCGTTTGTTAAACAGAAAAAAAATGGGCTGGATCGGGTGTCAAAAAATTTTGGTCAGTTCCGATGCCTGCAGTGTCGTGTTTTATCGTTATAATAATATTGCTATTCGTATGTGTACCGGATGAGAGAACACGGGCGTGAAATAAAACGGGCGTGACCAGTGGATCCTGGTTGGAGCTGAGAGAATACGGGTTGGGACTACACTGTTAACGTAGTTTAATAATATATTTATTCACAACACTTAGATAGGGAATACACGTCACAGGGTGCCAAACAAAAGACGGATAAGCCTCACTGGTGAGTATCTAATATATAAAATTCTCGTGTCACAATGTTAGTTGCCATACTCCTCCGAAACGGCTCTATCGATATTTATGAAATTTTGTGTGCACATCGGAAAGGTCTGAGAATCGGCCAGCATCTATGTTTCATACCCCCAAATGACAAGGGTGACCCACATCAATTTTTTTTTTAATATTTCCTAGAAATAATGTATATGGCAAAACAACGTTTGCCGATCAGCTAGTAATAGGCTGCGCGCTGTCGCGGACAGTTTGAGGTCGCGGGAGAATCCCAAGCAGTTTCAATGTTGAACTTATGGTGTTTCATTGTGTAATAATGTTTTAATTTACTGTCTAAAATGTAGTGCACAATGAATAGTAGGTATTGTGTCTATCTATCTATAGAGGTAATGTCAAAAATCACGTTCAGTCTCAGAGCGCAGCTGGTGATAAATTAAAAATAATAAAAGCTACTTACCCACTGTAGTTAGAAGCATATTGTCCAGCAGGAGTGCAATAGCCACTATCACCAGCACCAGTTTCCTTGACTCCCTGCAGGCTGCGATCTTCGCCCGCCAACTGCTGCCCCAGCCGTCTGATGCCACACCCATGGTTGATGTTTATCTGTGGAAGAACAGTTATTAATACATATGCGTAGACAACTTCTACTTCTTGTTTGGTTTTTTTTTTCGTGAAAACCCCCACTAGCCGTCACCCCACAGGGGTTTGCGATGGGGCGTGGTGTAGAAATCTAATCAACTTTAACCACACGTTGTGCCGTACTTAGAGCATACGAACCCGGTCCATTTTTTCTATTCCCGGGATTTCGGGTTTATCTACAGTTAATCTCGGGATCCCGGAATAACCCCGGGATTGTATTGGTAATGGAAAGTGGTAACAAAAGACAGTAAAACATGTCAATATCAGTTTTTTTAGCTTTTACCAATATATTAAGGTTTCAAATCTTCAAAGGGCCGGTTATGCATAATTATACTTCATACTACAACTACTGTAACAGTGTTTTCTGCAAAATAAATAATTTGAATTTGAATTTGAACTAATAAAATGAACAAACTAGGAACTTTTATAGATAATCTATAAAACTTTAAAACTAAATTAGCTATTAAACTAAATTAACTATTTAAAAATAAATAGTCATAATTTTAAATGACTTTGACTAGAATCTTTATTATCTTTATTTATCTTTATTATCTATATTTAACCGTGAAAATAAAACCTCATAAATAAAAGTGAATCTAATGTGGCTGACAAAATGTTAAATAAAGGTAAACGCTCGTTTTCCGCAATTTTTATTGACTTATTTAAAAATGTATCAATCCTGAAAATCCCGGGATTCATTAAATTTGATCCAGAAAACGGAACTCAAGTATAATCGGGATCCCGAGATTCAAAATCCCGGTATCAAATCCTCTAGCCGTACTGCACCCTAAATAGGAGAGATCCGGGAACAGCTTTTATGTGTTATTTAAATGGATATAATATTTTCCAGCTCTTCCAATGTACTTCTGATTAATTTCGTTGCGTGATCTAAGACAGTTTAACTGTTCCTGAGGTTTCCCGAGTGTCAATACTCGTGTTCGTGGGTCACTGCTGTTGTTCCTGCTGTACAGGAGTTAAAGTAGTGGGCGTGTGGGAGGGATTAATCCCATTGAAAAAAATACAGCTTTTATTATGACATCCGAATCTACACTGTCCGCGTGGCTTGGATTTGGGCGACGGTAGTCACTTATTACTTGTTTACCCTTAAACCATGAAAAAACAAGGAAATCGTTCCTACAGCGTTTTTGTAAAGTAAGTACTTGTTATTAAGGCTGCCATGTTATATATTTTATCATTAAATAACCACAATACTTGTACAAGTTCTTACGCTGTTCCTTCCACCATATTAAAAAGCCTTTGTCCAACTTTCTTTTAAATTAGTAATTGACTTTCTGTATTTCAAATTTTTTATTATAAGACAAATGTGGCACTGAATAAAAGTTAATAAGTCATTCCATTTACAAAAGAAACTCATTTCAACACTTCAAAACGCTTTAAAATTCGTCAAATTAATCAAATTTTTCCCGACTGACTACTAAATGGCGGTACAACAATGGCGTCTGGTGACGTATCAAGATGGCCGTCGGAGGCGACGCCGACGCTGCGCTAACGAGCCGCTTCCACCAATGTGGCATCTGTTCCGGTTCGTCTGTTCTTTTGTTTCTCTAATTAATGTTGATTTTAATGACTTCTAGATGACTTGGTGCTTGGATTTAAGGCCCGGGAAATTGAGAAACTTCAAATTTGTGTACCGTTATGTACGGTGTGTATGTTGTGTTCTAAATCTTCTTTTCGCATATTAATCCAAATCTTCAATTTACAGGGTATTTTTTTTTTACAAAACACGGCACACAATGTAAGAAACCAATAATGAAACTTGTCTATTAATTCGTTCAATATTTTTGAACACGTTCACTCATTTTCCTAATATTTTTCTTTTCACTTTTTATGCAATTTTTAGCCTATTCCATTCCTAAAAACCTTGTCCTGACAATGACAATGAAAAAGGAGAACCGATCCCGCAGCTCCCGACTTGGCAGTCAAAGGAACTACCCCCGTACTACAAATTTAATTTAGTCTTGCATAACTTAAACCAAATTGAAAGAAGAATCCATTGATAACGGCGAGTCTGACCGCTGTGACGTGGGGAAATTAATTAACCCTACGCACTTAGGGGTACATAGGGGTTACCTACCCCTATGTGTGCAGATTATCATACTGGGCATTTATCATAATGATATATATAGGCATTGTACAGTGAATCTTACTCATTTATTTGTTGTTTGTTCAAATAAATAGGTGGACATTATGATTTATTCTATTTAGTCAATCCCAGGATGTTACAAAAACACTTTTCGTATCAAATATAGATGCTTACAAATGAACGTCCAAAATTTGTAATTCTGCTGTCTTATACAAAGGAAGGACTTTACAAACGCACGTTTTATACAAATTTTAAATATTCACATTTCATGTGTGTAAAAGCTAACATTTTTAAGTATGTGTTAGAAATATTGAAAATATTTTAAAACAGTGCTACGGAATTTAAGAACGGCCCAGAATTAAAGAATATATTTATAGTCAGTGATTACAATTGTAACCTTGGTGCACCTATCTTACAAGATTTCTACACCTCCCAAAGGTTGGCTGGTGGAGAATACCCAGTGCATTAAGTCTGCCGATATACATAAGTACATGAAGATATATAAAGTCCTTGGTAATCTTACTCATCGCTAAAAGGCAACGAAAGAACTGCTTATCACCGGTATTTTGTGACATCGTGGTGTAACTTCGGTCGTGCCGTCCCATCCTCGCTCCAAAATGGCTGCCTTATCCATACTAATATTATAAATGCGAAAGTGTGTCTGTCTGTTGCTTCTTCACGCTTAAACCGCTTAACCGATTTAGATGAAATTTAGTGTAGAGATAGTTTGAGTCCCGGGAAAGGATATTGGGTAGTTTTTATACCAGAAATCATCCTTAAAGGGATTGAAAAGGGGGAGTGGAAGTTCTTATGGGGAATCAATAACCGCTGAACCGATTTAGATTCTTGAGGAAGGACATAGGCTACAGCGATAACCGACATATTTGCGGGCGGAGCCGCGGGCATAAGCTAGAACGAAGAAGAAGAACGCTAGAAGAAATCTATTGACATATGAATACCAGCGTCCCAAAAACCAAATAAACTTAAATCTTAACAAATAATAGTAAATAACACAGGTTAAAAAAATAATAACCACTATACTATCTTTTGGGTTCAATCGTGACTATACAATCTCAAATGTTAAGAAATTCTGAAACACACAGTCAAACTTAAAAGTAATAAAACAATATGTATACTCCGACAGCACCATCTATGGTGTTCACAAATCTAAACCATCGAGGGTCCCATTTAAACACAAAAAAAAAACAAAATCGATCCAGCAGTTCACGAAGAGTGACATCTGTGTGTGTACATATTATATACAGAATAATTACATCATCATCATCATCAACAGCCTTTACTAGTCCACTGCTGGACATAGGCCTCTCCTTAGAAAGGAGGTTTTGGCCTACTACACCTCGCTGGCTAGACGGGTTAGTATAGGGTTTGTGTTAAGTTTTCCTTCTCTCTGCAGTTCAGTTGTCCTGCGTAGTTTGCTCCCTCAGTCGCCTCTTAGTCCGTGTGGTGACGGATTAAGAATACAGAGTGTCACCACCCCTATTCAATAATTACATATGTCTAAATAAATAAAACAAAGACGGGTTAGTTACACCATCCATAACTCGAGAAAGGAAACACCGACTTTTATGTGTCCTTTTTTAATTTGTAATTTGAATAAAGATAATTCGTTTTCTAATAATAAAGATAATTTTGTACAGAAAATGACTTCCTTGTTTTTAGTTCGGCTAGCTACAAAGTCGTTTTTTTTAACTATAATTTATTTTTCTTTTTTGGCTCATTAATGATAATTATTATCATATTAAGGCTGAAAAAGTAACAAGTAAGTTTATCGCATATGGTTCAGCACACGTCTTATTACGTGGAAAAAGACACTACCGTATTGTTAGGTATGGAAAAAGCTGTTAATCCTGACGGTCCTGATCAGCATAATGGGACAAACTATTTAAATAATTGCGTTGTCATCGGTCCTTGATAAGGCGCAAAGTTTCAATTTAATTCGACGTTTTGAAGTGGGTCCAAATCCGGCTTGAATTCCGTTTCATACACACATACATACCAAGCTAATGAAAGCGTGTTAAAAACTGTCTGTTTAAAAGTTATAATCAATTTTCAGATATTATCGCTCTGTTTTCTCATAAAAACAGAGCGATAATATGCGTTGAGTAAACATTTGATATCGAACTAAACTTTTAATATTATAATTATTAAATCAATTAATGAAAAAGTTCATAAAAACCAATTTAAAAACATTACATGATTTTTTAAGTTAGTTTTTATGGGTTTTCTCAATGTGGATTGAATAATGCCAAAATAAAAGCATACGAGTATGTTCCATTTGAAATGTTTAACTTTACACATTTTACTTGTTTTAATCCATACTAATATCAACAATGCGGATGTGTGTCTGTCTGTCTGTTACCTCTTTACGCTTAAGCCGCTGAACCGATTCAGATGATATTTGGTATGGATTTACTCGTAGTTTAATTGTTGATAAAAGACATAGCCTTACCGCGATAACCTATATACATGTGGGTGGAGACGCGGGCAAAAGCTAGTAAGAAATAAATGTGATAATACGAGTATCTGAAAATTAAAAAGGTCATAACTTTTAAGTTAATGGTTTTTTCCTGAATTCTTTTTAAAATTGAATACTAAACACATGCTATAAGTTTTTAAAGCAAGTGTCAAATGTTAATGTACATATCATATGACATAGTCTATCACCGTTCTGTCTCTCCACGCGAATCGCTCTAAAAGATTAATACAGCTATTAAAAGATATTTTGTCTTTTAAATTTTACCGACATTTACACAGATTTGTCCGGAGATTAAAGAATCAAAAAGATCTCTGTCACCATGGCTTTTCCTTTTAAAATTAATTACGAGT